GCCCGGCCGGGCCGGGGAACGGTGCTCTCTGGTCTCTCTCCCCCTCCGGCTGTGGGTGCTGTGGTGTGAGGGGTGGTGGGGATGACAGGGCAGCTTGGTGGTTCCTTCGCGGCGCGGGAACGGGGGCGTCGCGTTGGGAGCCGTGAAGCAGCGAAGGCAGAGTTTGCCTTTGGATATTGGGATAAATTTGTTTATTGAAAGGGTTGTTAAACACTGGAATAGGCTGCCCAGGGAGGTGGTTGAATCACTATCCCTGCAGGTATTTAAAACACATAGAGTTGTGCTAAACCATGCTTAGGGGACATGGTTTACCGCTGAACTCGGTAGATTAATCATAGGACTCGATGATCTTAAAGGTTTTTTCCAACTAGAACGATTCCCTGATTCCATCCTGGCTGCAGGATCACGTCTCTGCAGGAAACAGTGCTCGTCTGATGCTCCTTTATGCTCATCAGGGTATATGTGTACCATATATAGCACGTATATTATTAAACCACGTTTGTGGAGTATGTTGCTGCAGCACTGTAATAGTGACAGAGATGCTCTCCAGTTTTATGTAGACTTCCTCATAAAGGAAGGCAATTTCCAGGGAGTTGTGAAGGAGCTGAGGCAGAGACACCAGCTATTAGAGCCAAGCTAAAATGTTCTTGGCTTGGGAAGGAAGTACAGGCATAGGGCATGGACAGCAGGAGCAAAGGAGCTTACAGCTTGCAGGAGTTACTAAGCCTGTCCCCCACATCGGTCTCATGCACAGTGGGATGGGCTCTGCCATTTTGTTATCCCCATGTTCTTGCATACCACGTTTTCTTTCTCCTTTCTTTGTCAGTATATCTCTGATTTTCATCCAGCCAAAGCCACTTTTTCCAAAGTGTGTGATCTGTCAGTGATTTTCTGACAGTCCACTTCCTTCAGAGTGCCTCTTTGATGCTAAGAGTCCTTCTGTGACATTAAGAAAGCCAGAGATGAGAGAGGTGGGAAGGTGAGAAGGTAGCGAGGCATGCTGCCTTCATGGCTAACACTGACTTTTCAGTGGCTGATTAATGATGGTGCTGCTTAAGGACTGAAATAAGTTGCACATTTCATGTGTGGGTGTAGATGAGTTGTAGGAATGTCTTCCTTAGCTGGAGGGAAACACAAGATTTTTCCCAAACTCTGCTTTACACACTTAGTTTTTTCCTGCAGAATTGTTTTGGTTTTAGCAAAACTGCTTGACCTCTCCATACTGACTTCTCCCGTGTTGGATTCACACGATAATGCGAAACACGTGTTTTTATTTCCTTCAGCTGACACCATAACTCCCCAGGGACAGACATGCTGAGAGCCAAGGATGCTCTCCTGCGCCTGCGGCCCGGCCGCTGCTCCTGCCTGGCACAGCCTCCAGCCTGCTGGCCCGCCTGGCGTTCGCTGCACCGGCAGCCGCTGCACCCCGAGTGGGCTGCCCTTGCTGAAAAGCAGCTGAAAGGCAAGAATCCAAAGGAATTAATTTGGCACACCCCAGAGGGGATCGACATCAAGCCCTTATACTCCAAAAGGGACACGGAAGACCTCCCTGAGGAGTTGCCAGGGGTGAAACCTTTCACTCGAGGTCCCTACCCAACCATGTACACATACAGGCCGTGGACCATCCGCCAATATGCTGGCTTCAGTACAGTGGAGGAGAGCAATAAGTTCTACAAGGACAACATTAAAGGTTAGACTACTGATTGAGGGAAAAAACATTGCATCGCAAAACAATGGGCAACATTCATGGGGCTAATTACATGGCAAATGTGGTTATTCCACCTTGTGAGTTGTGGTTTCTGATAGGATCTTCCCAGTGGTGCTGTAGTGTTAAATGCTATTTTTAGTTACTCTGCCTGCAAACTTAGACATAATTTGGCTGCATCCCAGGGTCAAACCAGCAGAGATCATGGAGCACTTTTCACTCATTTTGTGACCATGAAAGAAGATTGTAGTGGGGGGAAAAAAAACAGTTAAACTTCATCACTTAGCTAAACTTCCGGTGTTCTGGCATTGGGACAATTTGGATTTCCATCTCACATTATAAATTCTGCATGAAGTCATAAATACATATGAATGGTATCATTCATGGTGTATTAGTAAAGCCAGCTTCCTAAAAGTATTGGTATTTTCCTTATCTGAGAGCAATTTTCCCAATATTTCTGTGGAGTTTTGTGATTTGCAGCTATTTGTTTAGCTGATAGCCAGAGCATCATCAGAATATACTGTTAAGTTAGGCATTATAAATCTACTACTAAGCGGTTGTTCTTGATAGGCTGAAGCATTAGTTTTACACCAGCCATACATCTTTGCAATTGTTTTAAGTCAAAACAACAGACCACTGGAAGTTGCTTTCTC